ATATGTAAGCTAAAAAAAACCCTTTCCTCCCCAGATCGGTATTAGTCAGAGTGTTTTGTCACAGCAGTGGAGGAACAAACTAGGACACCTTCTCTTCCAGGCTCAGAGCTGTTTCTCCTGCATTTGGAGTTAGGAGCCTCACACTTCAGTTTCCCCAAAATAGACGGTATTATAGTCTATACACTTTGAATATATACTCTGTCTAGGTCAAAGCAGACCACTGATCTGCCCTTCCTGTCCACCAGCCTGATTTGATTGCAGGGACTGAGGCAGTAAGAATTAAATATATTTTTTCCCAGGCAGGGTACTAAACTTGAAAGTTCTTACTGGGCCATATAATATTATAACAATAATTTGGCTCTACTTGGTGCTGAGGTTCAAACTGCAGACCTCACACACGGTATGCTGGTTATATCCCCAACCCTCTTGGCAAATCTATATATTCTCTAGCCAGAATTTTGTATCACTTTTTATTTAACTCTGGAGACTTTTCAGAGTATGAAAAATTATGTGATCTTATCACAGAGAACGCTTTGAAAACTGGTGTAGAATTAGTGTGTCTAGAAATTCTTTCCTTTCTTAGCTTGTAAGGGGCCAGGGTGACAGAGTTCCTCTCTCTGCATTGGCCTCCTGGGCCCTCTGTCTCCATCTGCTGCTACTGTTATGTGAGTCAGCATGAGCACTGAACGGAAGGAGATGAGCAGGCGAGGTATGTGTTGTGCAGGATGGTTTATGAGGCCTTTAAGAAGGGTTTTGTGCCTTACCCTCAAGGACCATCTTTTTTTTTAAGTTCAAGCATAGATTTTATTTAAACATTGGAACATCTCTTTCATAAGAAAATCTTACCTATCTGGGCACTACAGAAGGTAACACACCTTCAACAGTTCTTAGAGAAAAGAAAGTATAGACATTTTGGTAAAGAGTTGAGTAACAATTCAAAAAATAAAAAGGAATTCAGAGATAGAAAATGCTCTAAGAGGCTCAGTCCTCAGAGGTTGTAGAATGTTGTTTCACTTACATCAATGTCACGTTAGGAACTGGGTTTTTGAGGACTAAACATAGGCACTCTAGGTTTTTCTAAGAACCAGCAGGTCTTAATTTTGTATCTTCGTGTTGGAACTAATTGACATTAACTTCAGGCTTATCCTTGCTGTTAAGTAGAGTGATGATTTTTTTAAAAAATATTTTGTTTTTATTTTACATGTATGAGTGTATTACCTGCATGTATGTAAGTGCACCCATGTCGTGCAATGCCTGAACAGGTCAGAAGATGCCGTTGGGTCCCCTGAAACTGGAGTTATAGACAGTTGTTAGCCACCATGTGGGTGCTGGGAATCCAGTCCCCAAGTGATAACTTTTCTTTTTTTTTTTTT